ATACGACGGTTTATTTTATCAATTATCTGGTTTTGCTCTTTTATTACGTTTTTTCTCTGGGATACATCTTTCAACAATCATTGGAACGCTTTAAAGTGGGACTGAATTGATTTTTTAAGGTTATTGTGCTGTCAACAGACAAGCCAGTTTTTAGAGAAGATTTGAAAACATTGTTTTGATCACATTTTATTTCCCTTGTGTCTGCTAAATAAAACAAGATTCTGACTCCTCTATGAAATCTTGCAGAACTTCTCTTGGAACATCTAAGAAAACAACTGTCATGGCAAATACTATCGAACGAGATAGGAGTTTGCCAACCGGAAATCATAGTAAGTTAGGATATGGAATACTTGAAAAAATAAGTGAATATTCACTCATTAATACTTCTCCTAATTTCCAGATGCTGTACAACTACATGGGACCGTTGCCAGACTAGCAAATATTCTTGAAAAGGTGAAAAATTTAAATTCAGAATTTATTCAACTGAACACATCAACGCAAGTAAGTCCTTTTCCGCCTTAACTGTCAATGCCATAAGCACTGGATTTATTGTGATGTCTTTTTATTCTGTAATGTCCCCTCAGGTAGAGCTCCAGGCCATTGCTGATGCAGCTACAGCAGCCCTTCAGAAATTCCAGAGTGCTCGCATTGTGATGAATGTTTCAATAGCTGATGTTCACCAAGAAATTATGAGCCTTTGTTCAGAGCTGGCTTCTGTCGAACAACCGAGCAACCTGTTAGCAAGCTCTAGTGCACCAACAACCAGGACCTCCAGTTCTCCTGTAGGACCCAATACCTCTTCTGTAGTGGCAAGCGTTCATGAGGGTAAATTGAATTTATCAGGGCTTCTTTACGCCCTGTTTATTCTTCTGCATATGGAAACTTTGTTCTGATTAAGATTTTAATTTCAGATTCATCTGGTACTTCAACGCTTACCCAAGGTACAGCATGTCCAATGATGCAAGGCCAAGTTATTTCTACCAATCCAACTGTGCCACTTCAGAGCTTAATAGTTCCTGTACCCTTAGAGCAGGGCCCCGAGAGGGTTCCACCTCAACATGTAAGTAAATAATGTAATGTTCTGTATGCTACCTAGATTTAGAGAAGACAAAAAACTAATGTAAATCATGAGTTATAATTTATTATTTACAACTTTAAACTTTTTCTCTTTTAGTCAAACGAATCAAGTGGAGATGATGTACCTAGTCCTAGGATTGGTGCACCTCCTCAGTCAATTTCTCCATCCAGTCAACCTA